TTTTGAAGCAAGGTCTCCCTGTAGCCCCAGCTCTCCTGGAACTCACTATGTAGACCAGGCTGGCCTTGAGCTCACAGAGATCCACCTGCCTCTGCCTTCCAAGTGCTAGGACTACAGGCATGTGTCACCACGCCCAGCCAATAAAATATTTTTTAAAGCGTAAGAGCATCCTCCGTGCTTCAACACAACGATGTTCCTTCACTTCAAAGTGTAACATGACATTTTAAGAGCTATTTGTTGTAATCTGTCTCCTCCTGGAACCCCATTAGTTCCATGACAGAGGACATAGGTATGTGTTTGCTCAATGCTGAGAGTCCATTGGCAATGGACTATTTAGCTGACATAGTGGATATTAGATGTTCAATAAATAGCTATGGGATGTCCCTATTCATTGCTTTTCTTACTGTAGAAGGCTTTCATGACAACGCCAAGCTGTCTGCTAGAAAGTGTGTATGCACATTGGACCACAGAGACAACTTTTTTTGTCTCGGTTGCAAGATTTATCAAAAAGCACTGTGGATTTTCTGACATGGAACACTCAGTATTTACGTGCTCATGAACTGGCTCCGTGAAACCTTGCTACATAGAGAACTGGAGAGGGGAGTAGAGTCTGCCTGGATGGTATTTTCCTATTAGAAATTCAAAGACACAATTTTCTAGTCTAGTGTGTGCTAAAAGTAGAGTCAAAAGTCTGAAATGTGTTTCACTTTTCACTGGTAAGCACCCTGGTCTCCACAGTGGTGATCCTGCAACTTCTGTGAAAGACAGATCTTCAGAACCTTAAAAAGACTTTAAAAATCAAACCTAGATACAGTTCCTTAACTCCCCATCTGATCTAGAGATATGAGAGAATATGAAAGCATTTTATTGACTTCTTTATTGAAAATGCCATTTGTATTAAATCTAACTAAATTTATAGGACATCTCCAGCTCCTTCATTATTTAGGTGAGCTGCCACTAATGCATTCATGCAAAGTTTTTATTGAGTGTAGGCACTGGTCCAGGTTCTGGGAATTTTTTTTATTATAGAAAATGGACACAAAGAAACTTTTTCTTTGAGAAACTTACATCTAACAGATGGCAAGTCGAAAACATAATATTAGGTGATGATCATTTATGAAGGAGAAAAAAATATATACCAAAGACCAAGGGCAGGAAATATTGGAGGAAAAGCAAGCACATTTCTGCCAGAATGGACAGGGATGTATGCTCTAAGAATGGCTTTCCACTTCACACTGAGGCAAGAGGAAATTGTTGCTTATGACCAAGGAAATTCTCAGCCATCTCTTTCTAGTCCCATGACTTCACCTTAGGTATAGCCAACTCTGCAACCCATGGGACACAGGTGCCCAAGGATAGCTATGAATGTTACACAACACAAAATTGCAAACTTACTTAAAATATTATGAAATATTTTTGTGACTTATTTTTGTAACTCAATGTGGAGTTCTCATTTATGGACTCTGAAGATGGCAATGTGGTGTCACAATGTCAAAGAGTCAGATACCTATTACCTAACTTTAAAAAGTCCATTCCTGCTGTATACTGCAACACCAGGCTGAGAACCAGGCACCCTGTTCCGTCTCCTCCATTCTGTTCCTAATGAACCTGAACCACTGAAAGGGCCTTCTTTTAGCTCCCACAGTGTTGTACTCACTCAGAGAGGTAATTATCAGCATTTTTTTCCAACATTCCTACTGCAACCATGCACAACACACACAATTAAGAATAAGGATTAAAACTACAATTGCTATATGCCAAACACTATGCATCTACCATTTTGTTCACTCTTAAATACTCTTATTTGCATAATCCTTGAAAAGCTTTAGTAACTTTCCTAGGCTTAGCATCCAACAAATAGCAAAGTCAGTATTCAAAGCACCAGAGAGTCCATCTTTCTCTACATCCAGCTGTCAGTAACATGTAAAAACAGAGCCTGGATAATAGAAAGATGTATGCACAGTTCTAAAGAGTCAATCACTCAAAGCTAGCTCTGCCCTTGAGCTTGAACTCAATCCACTAGGCCTGTAGTCCTCACCATGGTGGCTTGCAAGAGGGCCTTTTAAAGAGCAGATATGTTCATAAGCAACTAATGCTTCTCAGCTGGTTCCTGAGAAGAAGCTCTGAAATGAAGTGGTTTAAAGAGTCAGATGTGGAAGAGTGTACATAAAGATAAAACATCGTAAAACACCAGGTAGCACCCTGATGCAGATCATCATCTGTGACTCATAATCTGAAACAGTCACCCAAAATGTATTTTTAGTTTTACAAAAGTCCAAGAGCATCAAAATTAAGGCTGTCCTACTTCCAAAGCAATTCTCTTTAAGGGGAAATAAATGTGATTGAAAATATTTGCAGAAAAGTGCCTCAAAAATAAAGTTAATTGTGATTTACCATTGTTTGAGAATCAGTCACAATATATTGAGCAGGAACAAGAGCTAACTCATATGCAGTGTCTGTTGCTGACACTATGCGCATTCTGGTCATTTCAAAGTCCTGGCTTCACCTGGATTTCTAGCATTCAGAGAAGCTGGAATGTCTCAAGCATTCCTAAGTCCCAAGGGGATGCTGCATGCCTCGCTGTTTGCTTCTGTTGCTATTACTTTTAGGAAAGAGGTGGAATCAGCCATCATATTCTGAATCCAAAACAAACTTTGCTTTAATTACTTTTTCTATTCAGATTAAAAATGGAATGCTCTTCTGGGTCAACATATTCAATTATTTACATTATGCAGAACACGTCCAGGGTGAAACACCTGCATAACGAGGTAACTAAGAGAAGCAGGAAGGAAGCATCCATCCGTTAAACTATATATGCATGTATCGCCAAAATTTCATATGGGATGAAAATGACTTGCCTTGGAGCTGCTTAAAGGATATTTGAATATCGAGAAGGAGGAATATACGGGTTTTGCATCCTAAGCTCAATAACCCAAGTGCAAATTATAAACTCCAGGTACCTAGCTACTAATGTGCAATGTAGTATGATGGTAGAAATTATGGTCTTGGGAATCTCGAACAGGATTTAAGCCTAGGTAAAGCATTTGCTAGCTCTGTGATCATTGGACAGTTTATTAATTTAACTCAGTTTCAGTTTTTGCATCTACAGAAATGATAAAGCTAATCGAAGCCAGTGGGGCTAGATGGGTTTCCAAATTCAGAACTTCTCCCATATTAAAATACATAATCTATACAGTAAGTAATATCCTCAACAAGGTCTGAGGCAGCACCCTGTAATCAACTACATTAACATTTCTGCAGTGAAATACATGAACAGTCACAGTAATGGGATACATTCTGACTATAAATAGTCACAAGTCACTTCTCTATCTGAGTTTCTATTAAGCATACAAAAATTCTTTCACAGATTTTTTTATTCTGGCTTTATGAAAAAGAAATTATGAATTATACTGTTTCATCACATATATAGGCATTTGTATATTATAAATTTATGCACATACATGTATATGTACACAATCATTTATATACATATAATCATATACATACATAACGGTTTTCACTTAAGTTCAAGTAGGTTTACGTCAACAAAGTACTTTTTTGATAGTAGTTAATAAATAATAAGCACTCAATATTGTCCAGAATGTGAATTCTTTGAAGGCAAGATCACCATTTTGTTGGGCTATGCCCATGTGCCTAAATGGAGTGTCAGGTATGGTACCTAGGAAGGGTGCCATAAAGATCAATGTACTGATTCCTGGTATCTGCACACAACCTCTGTCTTCATCTACAGATCAACATTTTAATCATATGAAATGAGAAAAAAAAAATGACCCTTGGGGAGGATCAAGTTTTTCTGCCACACAACAGGACAGAAGAGTAATGAAATCAGAAATACCTTGGGAGGGACAAGGAATTATGCCTAGAAGATCAGTATTTAATTCCCCTCCTATTTTACTTTTAAGTTACTGTACTTGTTAATGAATAACAGTAGCATGGCTCATTTCAGGATCTTGTTTATCAGGCTTTGCTGGGTTCATTATTGAAACTTTTTTTTTTTCTTTTTGAGGTGGGTTCTCAGGCATCTCAAGTAGAAGAGAATGGCCTGGAATTCCTGTTTCTCCTGTCCACCTTCTGAATGATCAATAGGCATGCACCACCACACCTGTTTATGTAGTGCTGGGGATCGAACCCAAGGTTTCTTGCATGCTAGGCAGGCACTTTGCCAATTGTACTACATCCTTAGCTAGTCATTATAATTCTAATTCTGAGAATAATGTACCTCAAAAATGATCAGAAACTTATGAACAATTCTGAGGAATAAACATGTACAGACTTTGATGTCCCAAAGTTCAGTTCTGGAAAGCAGGGAGCCCATGTCTATATGAGTAACTTGTAACAATAACATAATAAATATAAATTCAGTCTAACACACACAGTTGAACACATGTAGATTCTACTGATCTTAAATTTTCATTCTGTACATTTGAGTCGACCTGGCAGTGAATGAACTAATTTCCTGTGAAGTATATCAAACTATAGTACAAAGCCCTATAGCGCATCCACATTAAGAAAAACAGACTTTGCTCTTCCTAAAGACTGAAATAGCCATCTGTGAAACAAAGTTAAAATCTATCTGCAGTTAGAGATTCCTGACCTTAAAATAAAAGGAAACAAAATAATATATTTTAACAGTTGAAGCTGTAGGAATTTGAACTGAGCAAAAAATGCATGTATCTTCTAAGTACTAGTCCAAGTATTAGAATCTAGAGCAAAGCTTTGACAATAAATGAATGTGGAAGGCAAGTGCTCTTGTGACATCAGACAAGTGTCCTGTTGTCTCTGTAACGGGTGAAGGCGGAGGGGGAGAAAGTTCCTAAAGGATTTTTCATATTCCCAAAGAAACCAACAGGTTAACTCACTAACCATCTGGTCTAAAGGATTTACAGTTAAGTGTGACAACAAACTGTCAGGAGACTGAAATTACACATTTAAAGACCAGGAACAGACCCTGAAATTGCGAGCTTAAAAACGAAGCTTACCCGGCCAACGAGAATGGGTTCAGGTCCAGAAAATTCTTCCAGGACAAACATTTGATTCCAAACCCAGCCTCTTTTGGAGCGATTCAAAATCCGCCGCTCTTCACTCAGCCTGTTTAGTTCCAAAGAGGATCCACTGGTGAAAACGTGCGGCTGATTCATCGGAGCCATGTAAACGTAAGTGGGGATGGTAATCCATAATATTATTAATGGAGTCCAGCGGTTCACGAACATCTCCGCTAGCCGTTCCGGCATGGTCCCACCAGTTAAGCAAATCACCGCGAAAATGAGACAATTATTTTTTTTGCCTGGGGTCTGCAGCCATCCAATTCATCATGCAGTGCAGAGCGTTTATTTACAGCTCGGCCACGTGTTCAGAGCAACGGGAAACAGACATGTTTAAGCAGCTTTTCTAAGACCACGATCCTGGACTTTCCTTTTCATTGAAATTTCCTGCAAAAACAGAAAAAAAAAAAAAAAAAAAAAAAAATCTCGGAATAAACTTGACCAAAGACATTAAAGAGCTCTACAATGAAAATTTTAAATCCTTAAAGAAAGAGATTGAGGAAGACATCAGAAGATGGAAGGACCTCCCATGCTCTTGGATTGGAAGAATTAATATTGTGAAAAAGACCATAGTATGATTTTATGCATAATATTTGCCACTTTTGAGAGAGAGAACATACATACCACATACATACCACACACACACACACACACACACACACACACACACACACACCTTTCACTGTTCAGTGCTAAAATGTGGCTA